ATATATTATAGAAAGGATGGAGCTTATAAAAACTAAAACAAAACATTTGCATTTTAAAGCCTACTTCTTCTTGGTATCCCTTCACTGAGTTATCTCTCTCTCTCTCTGTCTCTCTTTCTCTCAGCCCCTCTTCTTTCCTCAAATCTCTTTATCTTACCTACCTCTTTCTCCACTACCTTTTCCCCTTATTTTCTCCCCCCTCGCTACTCTCTCCCTCTCCTTTTCATCCCCTTCAATCTCTTCTCCTTTTCCCTCACTTTCTTCCTCTCCCATCTTCCTCCAATTCCTTCGTTTTTGTCCCCCCGCCCCTTCCAATCTCATCTTCCCTCCCATCCATTCATTCTCTCACGATTCTCTATTCAATTACACTTAAAATGCTTTTAATATCACATCCAACATAAAATCATGAGCTGGCAAAAGCAAGTCAGACTAACTTACCGAAAGAAGCACACTGAATTTTCAAATAAAAATAAACATAATAGTACATGTCGCATTGTCATTGTTACGTTACCTGCGAAGGGAGATCACCCAGAATGGCTTGTGCCTTGTGGCTCACACTGTCCAAGGTGACTTGCTTCTGACCCAGCTCCTGCTCCACCTCCTGCAAGTTAACGCAGACCAAATCGGTATTATAATAAGAACACCTGAGAAGCAATTCACAGTTTAAAGCGAAATTAAATACATATAAGAAGTCTGTCCCCTCCTACTCTTTTCAAAAGATAAAAATAATCAACCCTACTCCTTAAAAAAAGTAAAAGGAACCATTAAGGCTTGCCCTCTCCTACTCATTTCAAAAGATGAAATAATCAATCCTTCTCCTAAAAAAAGGTAAAAATTATCACAAAGGCTACCCCCTCCGACTCTTTAAGAAAAGATAAAAATAATTACCCATTCTCCTTAAAAAGTTTAAAAGAGTAAAAATAATCATAAAGACCACACTCTCCTCCTACTTACCCCCCTCCCCCTGCAACCCCATCCCCACCAAAACCAACCCCTCCCCCAAGAAAAAACAACAAACAAACTTAAAACAAAAACAGCCCAAACAGAAAACAATCAAACAAACAACCCCAAAACCCCCC